GCCCGGGTTCGATCCTCAGCACCACATACCAACAAAGATGTTGTGTCCGCCGAGAACTAAAAAATAAATATTAAAAATTCTCTCTCTCTCTCTCAAAAAAAAAAAAAAAAAAGGATCGAACCCAGTGCCTCCCTCATGCTAGGTAAGCATTCTGCCACTGAGCTGCAGCCCCAGCCCTAGACTTCTTTAATGAAGTCTGCATGTTTCTTGGGAGGTGTTTCATTTTTTCAAAATTTTTTTAGTTGTAGATGGACTCACAATATCTTTATTAATTTATTTTTTACGTGGTTCTGAGGATCGAACCAGTGCCTCACACATGCTAGGCAAGTGCTGTGCTACAGAACTATAGCTCCAGTCCTAGAGTTTCATCTTAATGGTAATGTCATCAGCAAAGCATGGAGGCACCTTTTCCACCTCTGCATCTCCAGGAACTGGATGAGCCTCCCTGACTGGGAGGCCACGACATGTTTCACTTCCTTTGCATAGTGGACCTCTTTCAGGCTTCCCAGTTTTTCCTGGTTTGGAGCTGCCTGCTTGTGTCCTGTGGTCACTGAAGCRCCGATCTTTGTGTCAACGTTATTGAGCTTTCTTCACCCAAATAATTGTTATAGTCATTGTTTGTTTGTTTGTTTGTTTTTAAACTGGAATATGTCAGATTATATACAGTACACAGAATTAAATTTCAGGAGGACCATGATTTTTAATAACTCTTATTTATTTATTTATTTATTTTTATGTGGTGCTGAGGATCAAACCCAGGGCTTTGCACATGCAAGGTGAGCGCTCTACCGCTGAGCCATAACCCCAGCCCCCCATGATATTTTTTAATGATAGAAAATTTGAAAAGTATTAAATAGCAAATTCTTGGTAGCCAATAAGGAGAATTAATGAAGATTTAAATGCATTAATATAAAGATTTAAATGCATAAACTGTAAAGATTTCTGAATATACACACACACAWATTCAAAATAAAAGTGAAATGGTACTGACAAATGACAAGTAGTTGGGCAGGTAAAGCCCAAGAGGTAGGTCACCACTACTTGAAGGGAGCCCAAGCTCATTGTGGCCTCTGACCTCATGTTCCCCAAAGGTAGCTGCCCATGTGTTCCAGGTGGCCATGAGGAGGTGAATGGCAAGAACAGAGAGCTGGAATCCCCTCCACCAGGGGCACTGATGCCCACTTCCCAGCTCCACAGACACCTGAACCTGCACCTGGGTGCATCAAAGGTGGCCTGCCAACAAGAATAGGAGATGGATGCTGAGCATGCTTCATCTAAGAATGCAGGAAAGCCAACTATGCGTTTTAGAAAGGTCTCCCTGGAAACCTAGGCTATTGGAGGATTGCGCTATCCAGCACTCTGTATCGTGTAACTTCAGTTGTCCTGGGACACAGCCTTTGTTTCTTTTCTTTTTTTTCATATAGTCTTTCTACACAAATCTTTGTACTGAATTCAATCGAGCTCCTATTCTCATCCTGATTGGTACATGACTGTGCTCTGCTTTTCTGCAAGATCAGCAATTGTGGCTTGAGTAGTGGTGGGCTCCAACCAGCAGCCACAGAGACTCCAGCTGCAGACTCCCCTAGTGAGGGCTGGCAGCCTCCCTCCTCCCTCCACTAAGGTCTTACACCCTTAGTGGCCTCAGCTCCTTTTCAGAGTAGACTCTCTGAAGTGTCCCTTTGTGAGGGCAGCTTTGTAAAGTTTGACTGCACTCACCTCAACTCATCGATTCCAGCTTCTCTGTCATCTCTTCAGAAAAACATCAGTGATCTCACCTCTTCTAGGAAGCAGTGCCCAGTGGCCTCCACTCTGTTGGCTCCCTTCAGTGACCTGAGCCCTCTGGAGAATTCATCTCAGTGCTCCCAACTCTGGATTTTCAGCCTCACTGAAGTGACACCACAGTGGCCTCCTTTCCTTTCTGCAGTAAGGCATAGACCTTGGCTCTCCTCACTGAGACACTTAGTGTTGCCCTTCTCTGCAGCCCTTCTGTGATCAGCTCCTCCTCAAGCAGTGGCTCAGCTGTACCGCAGCTCCCTGCTCAAGCCAAGGCCTCAGGGASGGGCCATTCTTACCGAGCTCTTGTCACGTATAATGAGGACCAGCACCCCAGTGCTTCTCTCTTCTCCACCAGGCACTGACACATTCAGGTTTGACGCGACTTAAACCTCATACCTTTGTTTTATTTGCAAGTAGATACTACTAGAAATGGCTCTGATATAAACTCAGATATAAGAACCATACCCTTAAAAACTGAGCAAATAATTCTGAACAAATTCAAATTTTTAATTATGAATAAACCAAATTTATCACAGGCAATGAATAGTAGACTGTCTTAAGCCAGGAGTTAAACAACAACAACAAACCCCAAACAACTGGAGTACAAGAATGGACTATTAGAGCTAGTAAAAAAGAGTGAGAATTTAAAAAAAAATATATGCATTGCGGGTGTGGTGGTGTACCACAGGAGGCTGAGGCCCCAAGCAGCTCAGCAAGACTATTCACAATAAAAAATTAAATGGGATGGGGATGCAGCTCAGGGGTCCAGTGCCCCTGGGTTCAATCCTGGTACCAACAAAACAAAACAAGATGCAACAAGGAATCGTCTTGTTAGCAATATTTTCTTGCTTGGGACCTAACTGGCCCCAAAGATCCAGAATCTCTGGCATGCAGAGTCTACAGGTCTTAAGGAAAACAGCCATGTTTTAGTTGCATTTTTACTCAAGTGGCAGGACATTCCTTCTGGTCTTGGATAAGTTAAAGCACCAGATAAAAGTTTTTTTTTTTTTTTAATTTACATAATTTCTAATGAACACATCTTTAGACTTCTTTTTCTTTTCATACAAACAGGTATTTGCACAGTTACAATTTTCAGCGATGTCATGTGATCCTTGATGTTGTATATCAATTTATCCACACAGCACTTCTGTGTTTCAAGAGAATACTGAAAACAGTCCAGTGTTCTAAGTTTCACAGCTAACTGTTTAGGAAAGGCATGCATCTTCAGAAGAGAAAGAACCTCACTGGGAACATAAGGGAGTATTTTAGGACAAGTCCTTTTACTTTAACTTCCTTTTGTTATTCCTTTCAAATGAATTATCTAATGTTGAAGAAACAAGGAATTATGGCTATCTTTACCCAAACTTCATTATGATTGCACGGTGATTCTTCAATATAACTTCAGGATGTTGAGGAAAACAAAACATAAGTTCTGCAGCTTTTCCACGGGAAGAACATGCCCAGTGCTTCTCCCTGCAATTATTTTGTGGCACTGAACCCCGAGGGAGGGTAGTRAGGCTGCCTCCTGTAGCCACCAGGCCCCATGCTCACAGCTTCCCGTGCACCTTCTGGTGCTGGATAAGGTGGCCGTGTTGGTTGAAGGCACGTCCGCACTCCCCACACTCATAGGGCTTCTCCCCTGTATGGATCCGCTGGTGCTGGATGAGCACCGAGTACTGGCTGAAGGCCTTACCACAACTGCTGCACTCGTAGGGCTTCTCGCCAGTGTGGGTCCGCAGGTGCACGATCAGGGTGGCCTTAAGGCTGAAGGCCTTGCTGCACTCTGTGCACTGGAAGGGCTTCTCTCCCGTGTGGATCCTCTCGTGCTGGATCAGAGAGCGACGTGCGCTAAAAGCATGCCCACACTCTCCACACACATAGGGCTTCTCCCCGGTGTGGACCCTCTGGTGCTGGATCAGGTGGGAGTGCTGCACGAAGGCCTTGCCACACTCGTAGCAAGCATAGGGCTTTTCCTCTGAGTGGATCCGCTCATGGTTCATGAGGGTGGAGCGGTGGCTGAAGGCCTTGCCACACTCGCCACACTCGTAGGGCTTCTCTCCTGTGTGCACATTGTGGTGCTGGATGAGGACTGAGCGGTCACTGAAGGCCTTCCCGCACTCACTGCACGAGTAGGGCTTCTCCCCTGTGTGCACCCGCTGGTGCTGCAGCAGCGTCCTCTTTACACTGAAGGTCTTCCCGCACTCGCTGCACCGGTGAGGCTTCTCYCCAGTGTGTACCCTCTGGTGGCTCCGCAGCACAGTGCTGTGGTTGAAGGCCTTCCCACATAGTGGGCACACATAGGGCCTCTCCCCTGTGTGGATCCGCTGGTGCTGGATGAGGTGCGAGAGCTGGGTGAAGGCCTTCCGACACTCGGCACACTCGTGAGGTTTCTCTCCTGTGTGAATCTTGTGGTGCTGAGCAAGGTCCGAGCTCACTCGGAAGGCTTTTCCACACTCGTTACATTCATAGGGTTTCTCGCCAGTGTGGATTCTCCTGTGTTTACTGAGGACTGAGCTTTGGCTGAAGGCCTTCCCGCACACACTGCACACATATGGCTTCTCACCTGTGTGGATTCGCTGGTGTTGAAGAAGATGGGAGCTCCGCCCAAAGCACTTCCCACACTCGATGCACATGTAGGGCCTCTCTCCACTGGGAGCTTCTGGGTGTGGAGTCAGTGGCCTGCTTCTATTCGAGACCCGAGCCTCGCCAGGGACAACAGGGCTTGGATGCAGGCAGAAGCTCTGCTCTGGGTTATAATGTTCTTGAACGATGCTCCCTGAAGATGCTTTCCCCAGATGCACTGTTACCTCATCTGAAATTAACGGCTTTAAGGGCCAATCTGTATTTTGGTTCTCTTCCTTGGTTTTGCATTCTGAAACAACAAATCCAAAATGACAATGTCAACACTTCTCAAAACTGCACAGTACAACCCTGAAGCTGGCTTTCTGAAGGTCACTCCCTGCTGGAGAAATCCGAAGATTAAATTTCCACAAGACCCTGTAATGACTGACAGTGGAGTGCCAGTGAGGAGGTACCCCTGCAGAGTGCCCAAGAACACTACAGTGGGGCGTGGCCTAGTGCTTCCCCAGGCCCTGCCCTCCCTGGAGCCCTCAGGTGAACGGAGCCTCAGGAGGCCACATGGAGCTGATTGCAGGACTCTCCCAGCCTGAAGGAGCCCTGTGCACACAGAGAGTAGCCAGTGAGCAGCGAAGTCTGGCCTGGGGTGGGTGGAGAGGCTTGCATGCCTGTGAGCAGGCTGGGGAATGCAATCCTGGGGCCAGTGGATTTGTGTGTGGGGGGTTGGTGCTGAGAACTCTTTGTAGAAGATAACAGGGTGAAGAATACTCAGGCAGGTGAGACTAGAGACACAAAGGGTGGTGGTGGGAATCTGCAGCCCAATTTAGCTGTGGACAAGGCCTGCAGGGATGGCAGGGTGGAGGCAGGAGAGGCTGGGGTGGAGATGCTCTGGGTATCCACAGGTGTTGTGTGCCACTGTGTGTGAGGGGGGTAGGGGGTGCTGAGACAACCATGTTCCAGTAACTTGGGCCACTCACATTATGACTTCATGTGGTGGTGGCTACTTGCTAGAAGCCCAGGCTGTCCCTGCATTGAGGAGTGATGAGTGGCCCAGCCCCACAAGAGAGTGGGGGAGCAAGAGGATGGCTCCCCAAGGCAGTGGCATGCTGAGTCCTTCAGGCTTCCTTGGGCCAAAGGGCCACAGGCTCCACTACAATGCAGAATGATGACCAGGCCTCCAGCATCTGAGGCTCCAGGGCACACTGACACCTCCTGGAGGGCTTGGGATTCTAGCCCACCTTCAGTGCTTCTCCCTGTCCCCTCAATCCTCTGTTGGGGACTGCCCTAAGGGATGTTCTAGTATAAGCAGCTCCACAGTGGAGGAAGACCTGAGAAGGCAATTCTCCATCTGCTGGAAGACACACCAGGATCTGGGATAGGGTACTAAATTTGTAGCTGACCCACAGATGCTGAGATCACAGGCAAGGATAGCACCAGAGATGTGGGCACACACTTCTTTTCCAATCCTCTCCAGAGGTTACTCTGGGTGAGAATGAGCATTCTCAGCTCAGCCACTCCTTGGGAACAGCTGTCCCCCACATCCAGAGACCTGAAGCCACAGGCCCCAATAGCTCTCATCTGGAGTCCCATGGGGAAGTGTATCTGACTAGCAATAAGTGACATGTTCCCAGGGTGTTTCACCACTGAGCTACATCCCCAGCCCTTTTTATTTTATGAGATAGGGTCTGGCTAAGTTGCCCAGGCTGCCCTTGAACTTGCCAACCTCCTGCTTCAGCCTCCGGAGTCACTGGGATCATAGGTATATGACACTGCGCTTGGCTAGAAGCTTTACTCTTTTTATTTATATATATATATATATATATATATATATATATATATATATATATATATATATATTTTAGTTATAGTTGGATACAATACCTTTATTTTATTTATTTTTATGTGGTGCTGAGGATCGAACCCAGGGCCTTGCACGTGCGAGGTGAGCGTCCTACCGCTGAGCCACAACCCCTGCCCACAGAAGCTTTACTCTTTAATTGGCTCTAAACATGCTTTGGGAAGACATATTGAATAATGGGCCTCTTGAAATCTCAACAAAGAGATTTGGAAAGTAAGAACCTAAGARAAATGTCCACAATGCCAAGGATCTTCTGTGACTGGCAGGAACATCCATGAAGTGTTTTATGATGGAAGTGTTTGGAAAAAGATTTGAGCAAAGGTGGCAATAAATAGAATGTGCTTGGTTTGATTGGTAATGTTTTTAGTCATCCAAGAAATGGTTACCTTGGAGACTGAGACATACCAAATACTAGTGTTTCTTCTACAAGCATGGTGGCAGAGCAGAGTGCACCAATCCTCAAGGACCGCCTCCATGGATGAGGGGTTTCCAATGGTGGTGGCCTGAGCTGGGGGTGTCACTCCAGGCCCAACCAACCTGCTCTGCCATACTTGCCTGGAGCATAGCTGCCCTATCAACATGAAGGCCCTCCAGTACCCACCAGGGCTCAGCCAGGAGCTCAGTCAGACCTCTCCTTTTGGACAGAATTTGGTTTGTTGCTCCAAGAACAAGCCCTCCTACAGCTGCCAGACATTTGGAACTCATGTCACTCTTCCAATTCCTTGTCTTCCTCTTTTCCCACACCAGCATCCAGACTAATCCCTGTAGTTTCCTGTTGAAACTCCAGCTGACCCCTCTTACTACCCACCCCATCACCTGGGTACTCACCAAACCAACAGAAACAGAACCCAACTCAGTGTGGAGTCATGTGGCTGTATGTTCCTGAGTCCCTCTGATCATCTTTACTATACACTATGTGAAATACGTTGCTTTGCCATCATCACTCATTACATGCTATCTTGCTTTTCCTGGAGGGAGAATGCTGGAAAGAACATCTCTTCCAGCCCAACAACTGGTAAAAGCCAGATCATCTACAAAACCCCTTCTTTTCCTGAACCCATGAGAGCCGAGGGCACACGATGGCTGACTAGCTGAGGACCTGAGACAGGTGTCCAATGGAAAGAAGACTTTGGGACATGTGCACTGCCCTGCCCTATGGAGAAGGCAGATGGGGCCATCATACAGTGGGCAAGGAGAATGCCTTAGCCAGGTGCTGGAGAACCTCAGGGAGCCATGGTACAGGGCTTTTCTCCATGGTCCTCCGGGGTCTTCTCTACTGGCTCCCCAGGCACTCATGAGAAAGTCTCCTGGGAGGTTCAGGCCTGGAGGAAGGAAGGGAAAAATACCTGCCTGGTCCTCTATATGGAGCAAGCCAGAAGTCACTGGGAGCAAAGAAAACCTATCACACCTAAAGTACTGGTAATAGTCACTGTGGCTGGGAGAAGAGAAAAGAAAAATGTAGGGCAGGAGACGATCATGGGTAGATAATCAGGTCTCCCACAGCCAGACAAAGGGCAGGATCATTGAGGTGTTGTCCAAGACCCCAAAACCGACCACCTGAGACTAAAGATGGGCCAGGTGAGCACAGTTCCCTTGTTCCCCACCTCCTGAGGTGAGCAAGCCCTAGGTCATAGGCAATAGAGTCTATGACTAGGGTAGGGCAAGAGCAGGAGGGACCCTCTCTGAGGTACTGGTATGTGTGGAAGACTGACAGCCCCTAACCTGTGCACCAGGAAATGCTAGAGGAGTTTGACTCTGGTGATGCACACAAAGTAATCATGACAACAAAATTCAAACCTAGCTGGGGGGCTGGGGTTGTGGCTCGGAGGTAGAGCGTTCGCCAAGCATGCATGAGGCACTGGGTTCAATCCTCAGCACCACATTAAAAAAAAAAAAAATATATATATATATATATATAAAATTCAAACCTAGCCCTTGTACTGACTGGACTGATCCAGCGTACACACTGGCTGCCCAGCAGGAAAGGTCACATTTTCACACTTATGTTGGCATTCAGTAAAAATTTATGAGATACTCAGAAAGAAAAAGAACACAAAAAACAACAAAAATTTAAATCAATCTAAAAAACCGACTAAGAGATAACCATACATTGGATGAACATGATGACCAGATGGAGAATTTTAACAGAGGAATTAAAAACTAAGAAAGAGCTAAGTGTGGTGGCACCCATCTGCAATCACAGCTACTGCAGTGGCTGAGGTAGGAAGACTGCGAGTTCAAGGCCAGCCTGGGCAACTTGGCGGGACCCTGTTGAAAAATAAAAAATAAAAGGGTTTGGGCTGGGAGCGGTGGCACAGGCCTGTAATCCTAAGGGCTTGGGAGCCCCAGGCAGCAGGACTACAAGTTCAAAGCCAGCCTCAGCAACTTAATGAGACCCTGTCTCAAAATTAAAAAAATAAAAAGGGCTGTGGATGTTCTTCAGTGGCTAAGTATCCTTGGGTTCAATCCCCAATACCGTAAAAAAGTTATTCAGATAGAAGATATATGCCCTGGGCTGGGGATGTGGCTCAAGCGGTAACGCGCTCGCCTGGCATGTGCGCGGCRCTGGGTTTGATCCTCAGCATCACATAAAAATAAAATAAAGATGTTGTGTCCACCGAAAACTGAAAAATAAATATTAAAAAAATTCTCTTTCTCTCTCTCTTAAAAAAAAAAAAAGAAGATATATGCCCTATAAAAGCTTGGACTTACAAAAAAGAAATGAAGAGCTCTGGGAATAGTTAAAATGACAACCGTTTTAAATACAGGCAAATATAAAAGACTGAAAACAGTTCTACCTCATTCTTAAAGACTCAGAAACACTCAAGAGTAAAACATGCTAATGTCACAGAATTCTATTAGAGGGAAGGAATATAGAAGCTCTTATGGTCTATTTGTGTTCCCCAAATCTAGATGCTGACGTCCTAACCCATGTGATAATACTGAGAGGTGATCCCCTGCTGGATTCAGGCAGGCGGGTAGGGGGGGCCCTTGCTAGGGGATTGGCGCTTTTATGACACCAGAGCTTGTGCTTTCTGCACACTGTAAGAAGGTGGTTGAGGGTTGGGGATGTGGCTCAAGCGGTAGCGCGCTCGCCTGGCATGTGTGCGGCCCGGGTTCGATCCTCAGCACCACATACCAACAAAGATGTTGTGTCCACCGAGAATTAAAAAATAAATATTAAAAATTCTCTCTCTCTCTCTCTCCCTCACTCTCTCTTAAAAAAAAAAAAAAAAAAAAAAAGAAGGTGGTTGAACTGGCTGGCACTTTAATCCTGGACTTCCCAGCCTCTGAACTGTAAGGAATTGCTGATGTTTAAGCTACCCTGTTTGTAAAATGGCCCACAAGGACTAATCAGGTAGAAGTACACTGTTGCAAGATTCTTACACTATATGTGAAGTGGTAAACATTGTTTGAGGTTAGACAATGGTTGGAGA